TATGGAGCCAACTGTTGGCTTCATAGCAAAACCGTACATACAATAACCTGAAAATTTTGTTAGCTCAAATCCAAAATTTTTAAAACGATTGAGTAGAAACGACCTCAAAATCCCCAAATCGCCTCATTCTCTCCTTCGTCCAGCTTCAATAGTGAGGGAACCTTCCCACTTGGGAGTCAGGAGGCTCGGCGGCAGTTATCTTTGGCTGGAGCGACCTCTCCATGGCTTTCGGTGGTCATCGCCCTTGTGATGTTAGAGATGACGGGAGTTGCAGATGGGATACGTCAATCTACAGCGGAGCCTTAACCTTCTAGTGTTGCGGAGGTGGAGCGGCCGTGAGGTCTTGAGAGCGGTTGTGGCTCGGACTGTCCGGTGGTGTCGGGTGGTTGGGCCGACGTATTTGCCGAGTTTTTTTTTGTCCCCTGATCCTTTCTTTCCCTTGGTGATTGGGATTATTGGCTGACCGGCGCCTTCGATTTCGGCCAGTGGTGTTTGAAGGGATTGGAGCCCCGGTGTGGTTGGGTGGGAGGGGGAGGGGGAGGGGGGCATGTCGGGTTGTCCTCCGGCTAAAGGCAATAATTGATCGTCTGATTGCGAGTCGTGTTTTTGGGGTGCGGATCCTGACATTAAGCAGTTTCTAGAGCGGCTTCCTGAGGTGTGGTTTGGGTCGTGAGACAGTCGAGTATGGGGTTGCTGATAGTTTTTTGGTTTTTTGCCGGTTGTGGGAAGGGTTGAATTGGTTTTGTTTAGGTTGTTTGTTAGAGTTTGTGTGTTGTGTTGTTATTGTTTATGTGTTGTATTTTTTACTCGCCGGTTGGGAGTGTGTGTGTTTGGTGTATTTACCTGTTGAGAGCTTTTGTTTCTTCTCTTGGTGGAAGCTTTTGTTTATTCTCCCGTTGGGAATGTCTTTAGTTGTGTTTTGTGTTGTAGTTGGCTTTATGCTGTCGTCGTCTAGTACACATGTAGTCCTCCCTACTGGGGTCAGCTATTCAGCTTATTCGGTCGTTGGCTGTTATATTCGATCGAGTAGTTGTTCTCTTATCCTGTTTTTCTGTTGAAAATATATGTGGTTTCTGTTAGAAACAAGTGGAATAAACCACTATGCCTCGATAGTGACATTTCACTATTTGTAATAAATGAGAATAGTAAAGTGAATAATAATGGGTATGAGATGTGCATTATTGGTGTATATTGTGTCGGCAAATTTGCCTATAAAAGGCATTGCCAATGTAGTGAATGTACACACAATTTCAGAAGGAAAAGAAGAAAGAGAATACTAAGTATAATTCCTATCCGCTTTCTATTTTGTGTTCTTTATCTTTCCCGTTTATATAACACGTTATCAGCACGAGCGCTCTACCCAGTCAAGAAAAGTAGGAATATACTAATTATATATGTATGGATATATATTACATAAAATTAGTATATTTTAATGATATACATATTATCATTATTCTTAACAAGTAAGGCTCTGTCATAGTCAAGGATATGTGGTATGAATATACTAAATACTAGTACAACACCCGTGTATTACACGGGTGCTTGCTAATTTTTTTCTTAAAATCTAAAATTAATGAAAAAAAGTAGTTTGAAAATATAAATACCTTATAATTATAAGAATATATATATTATTATATATTTATTATGACACTTTTTATTTGTGCAATTTACTTGTGTTATATTATACTAATTTTTTTAACTTACAATATATAACTACATTACATATAAATATATCAATTGAAAAATAATTTTATTTTCTAATGAATTTCAATAAATATTATTATTTTTGATTATTATAAAGATAAATATAATTTATTTATTTCATATATATACAATATGGATGTCAAATCGAAGATTATCAAAAGATGATTAATTTT